GGTCTTTGCCGAAAAAAAAGTTCAGGTTTTCTTTCCGGACCCCACTAGCATCCCTGCACATTGAATTCTCAGTCTGTGACATATACTTCTTAACCTGCCGGCACTAAGAATCCCCTGGCCCAAAACGGAAATTGTACTGGCCTCATTTTTTTACTCTGGCTCTGTCCTGGGGAACAGTGCTTTTGTCCCAGACTGAATTCTTGAGTGTTTTTACCTGCAATTAACAGTCCTGTTGTTAATTTTTCTTATACACGCAGCATTTTGTACTTTTCTATATTATAGAACTGAGCAGACACATCCCTCCCCCTCTACACCAGGAACCACACCTACTGGCTCATCCAAACAGAAATCCTCCAGACTAAAGCTGATAAATGATGAATCTTCGGACGACAACAACGATGATGACCTCACCCCCGTCAGTACCCACCAAACCCCCCTCAAAGATGACACCCCTTCAAAGAGTGGACACCGGCTCCTGGATAGTGACTCTTCGGACGATGATGACCAGACTTTGGCCCAGGCTGGACAGTTAAAGAGTAGCAAGGACAAGTTGACAGCATCAGAAGTGTCCCATTTGGTAAATGGCGATTCTTCAGATGATGAGCCAGTGACAGGCAAAAGGAAGTCCCAAAACAATGGAAAACGAGATTTTGAAAGTGATACAGATGACGATGAACCTCTTGCGGCAAGCATGCAGAAAGCAAAGAAGGTACCTCTTGCATCGGAGAGTGACTCAGACGAGCCTTTGTCAAAGCCCAGTGGCCCTAAGAGCAAACTCTCTGAGGAGACAAGAGCTCAGCTGAAGAGGGCACTGGAGTCGGATTCCTCAGACGATAGGTACAAGCATATTCAACATATTGCATTAATTTTGAAAAATAGTAATCAGACTTGACAGACACATATTATCTTTGCATTTCATTTATATTAAATCAAAAGTGCACATTTATTTAAAGTTAATCACTTGATTTCAGAAATACCTAGAAAATATGAACTTTTGTCATTTAATCTCAGCATTCTGAGGTTATTTATTTAATTCTGATAGGTTCAGAGATTTTTCAGGATTAAGTATTTGGTCTCACAACAAATTTTAAGAGATTTTCAGTACCGGTTCATGCTTGACATACACTATTTATATAAAAATAAGCTTATCTTGTCCACAATTTCCAGTGATGATGACAGACTAGTAATTGACAGTGAAAAGGAAAAGACAAAGCAACCGAGCAAGAGAACCAAGATCCAGGAAGAAAGTGACCAGGAAAAGAAAGAGGATAAAGAAAATATGAGAGACACTAGTGCCAAGGAGCTAGGTAGGGGTATAACTAAAATTATCATTTGATTTAAGTTGCCTGTTTGAGTGACTTAAGTTTTAAGGTTTTGCCAAGAGGGCACAATTTTTTTTTACAGTTTAAATATTTACAATGCAGACTTTTCTGATTTTCTTAAATAATTTTTAATTAATTAATTATTATTATTATTATTATTCAGACAAATTTTTAAAAGGGGTATATGTCTAATCAGTTGCATCTTTAATTGTGTATTTTTCCCTTTCCAATCCAGCCTCTTTTCCTGCCACGTTATTGTCACAAGGCCCTGGAAGTGACTCTGACTCTGACATCGAAGATCACATCCCACTGAGGAGGGGAGCTAAGAGGAAGACGATAGAAAGTGACAGTGATGACGATTAGAGTTGTATTTGTGCAAATATATATAATAAAAGTATATATCAAACAGTTTTTACCCGAGTGTCAGTGCAGTAAAACACTGTGGACAGCTCAGTAGTGGTTGTTATATAAATGCAGATCAAATTATATAACATAACTGTAATATCATTACACGGGTCCGTTGGGCAAAGAAATCGCGTTTCAATACATAATATAATTATTACTAGAGTAACTAAAGATTGCTGGATTCACCAGATCTTTGACTTTCTTTTTTTTTGTGAGCCATAGATGTATATTAAAATAAAATTTTTCTTATATGTCTTAATGATTTTTTAGTTTGTTACAGATGTGTTGCGTGTAGTCCATGTTTGGACAGTATGTGAAAAGAATAATTCATGGCTAAAGTAATTAGGTGGAAAAACTGTTGTCATGAAATTGTCATTTTCACATTAAAATAATCGAGAAGAAATCCCCTGATTTTTTATTACTAAAACAATAACAATGTACAAACAATTACATCTGACGTATAAGTTTTTTTATCTTTGCGTTAATTTTTTGCCCTCCTCCCTTCGTCCCCCTGCCTCCGCCCCCCACCCCCACCCCCCCAGCAGACCTTGGCAACACGGGCTAAGTCCAGCTAGGTGTGCGATGCCAATACTTTAAAAACTTTATGATGGACAAATTTTGAATTTGGTGAAATTCTGCATCAGCTAACATTTTGGATCTTTGCTTTGGTTAACAATAATCGTAAATTACATTGTCCTTTTTTACGGCTCAGAAGTTTTTTTTCCATAGACATGATGTACGTCTGTCGTACTATAATCTGTTCCGTTTTTTAAAAGAGGACCTTGCACAGAAATCTGGGATGACAAAATTCTGTTTGCTCTACCGTTGCCAACTGGAATAATGATTTATGGACTGCATAAGGGAAAATAAATATATAAACGAAAACTAAAAGTTCCTTTGACATTTCCATAAAAGGGTAGGAGCAGTAAGGAAGGAGTCATCTCAACCATTAGTTGCTCACTTCGCCCTCGCTCTCGCTGCTTCCGTTAACGTGAACTGCCATCGTACCATTATTTTGCATAACCTTGGATTTCAAGTCCACCATGCTGGATTGAGCAGTTTTGATGACGTTTCTATCTGGAATTTTCTCGTGCTTGTATTCTAACATCATATGGTTCTGTGGGGGTAAACCTATACAGGCTCTGGAGTAATAAAACAAAATAACTTAAATAAGTATTGATTAATTTGAGATCTATTCAAATCATATATTGAGCTCTAGTTATTTGCCATTTATATATATTGAGAAGTCGGTAGTATGCACGTTAACTGTAAAATTACGAATACACAATAGGGTTACATGAGATAGATGCTAAGAAAAACGTCTTTCCAAGTCTCCTTTAAATGTGTTTACATTGATCATACACCAAGGCTTATCAGACAGCTCGTTAATTTTCCATCACGGTGTCTCATCCAACAATGTGGTAAATTGAATTAAAACGAAAGCTGTCGTGAAAATCTGACTTTATACTCTGATGCTTCGTCAAATTTAATGATAACATTCTCAACGAAAAAGATTTTTGTTACCCCATTTTGGAATTCTAAACGTTGGAGAATAACTTCTTCAGATATGAAAAATAACAACAGAGTGAGCCTTAACACAAACCTGAAGATATTCTCTATACACGCCCTCTGCCGGAACAAAGCATTCACCAACGGGGTTCCTCGCGGCACCAAGGGCGCTTTGCATAGGTAACTCAAAATTGACAAGACCGCGTTGAAATTTTGAAACTCCTGTTCTTCTCCGACCCTGAACTGTATCCTTTGGCACATCTCTGCTAGGATAACAAGATCTAGGATAATTGGCGAGGCTAGAAGGGAGTCCTCGCACGTGTTGTGGATGGCGATGGTGTTGTGACCTCCCATCATTATTTCCGAGGTATATTCGTCCATAGCTCGCTTGCTGTCGCCAACGTATGGGACATATTTTATGACGACCTTTAGAAATGGAACAAGAATAATTAGCAGTAACTGGAGCTCGAGCAATAATAATAATAATGATGATGATGGTGTAATGATTTTAATAATAAATAATTATAAAATAAAGGCGCTGTTTTAATACAACGATTTGATTGGCTCGTTAGTTAATTAACTTAACCACATTTTAATGTTAAAACTCACACAGTGGTCGGGCTTCTCCCCTGGTTCATACAGTATCCCATTGGACGCCACCATGTCATCCACAACGTTACTCTTGCTGATTTCTTTAGAGCGGAACTGCAGAGGAGCCGAGAGGTTCCTTCCGTCGTTATTGCCAAGGTGGTTATAGCTGACGATAGAAGTGGGCTTGATACCGGCGCTGACGAGGAAATCGACCAGCACGGATTTGAGTTTGGTTTGCCCAGATTTGAAATCGTCGCCGGCTATGTAGACGCGCTCCCTCTCCGCGAGGTCAATGACTCCTGGGACAAAGGTGTTTTGAGGAGAGCCGTTGATGTAGCAACACTGGGTGAGAAATGATGATAAAGAACGTTGGAATTAAAATGTTTTAACAAAAGTTTTTAAGTGGCTAGTCTTTCTTTCTCTCTCTCTTTCTCTCTCTCTCTCTCACTTTGGTCACTGCCTCAAGAAAGATGGCAGTTTTAATTTTACTTTCGAAAATCGAGACCAGTCACAAAACTGATAAACATTTTTTCGTCAAATGAAATGTCTACAATTCATTGTTTTGGGATAACATTTTCTCGCATGATTTTCATCACCTACCCCTTCAAGTATACTGGCTACGGCAAAAATTGTAGACGGGGAAATTTCTGCAGCACTTCTTTCAATTGATTGGATTAAATTATCTCCTGTGTCATTAAGTCCGGGACGAACATCGCAAAAGCGTTCAGTGTTGGCCGTCCACAATACGATCACTTTGTCCAAGTTGGAAGTGACTTTAAAATCTCTGAAGAATAAAATAATACATGTGTAGGGAAGTCTTTTTTTTATGCCATTTCATCTTCATGTTTATTCTCACCAAGACCGCGCGAACTACTCACAAGATCACATATGCAAAAGGTGTGCCAAAAGAAAAAAGAAACAGATAACATGAAAAACAGTTTCAGAAATATTTAAGATTATATAGAAAGGCTCAATTTCCAACTGGAAGAAAGCTTCGTGAAATTGCCATTGCGCAAATTGGTTAAATGGTTGTCTTTCACACACGGTGTCAACAAATGTTTTTTTAAAATAGATACCTTATATCTCTACGGATCTTTTCCAGGTGCTCAGCCTTGTCATACCCAGGAAGCACATTATCCGCTCTGTCAGTCTGGTTCGCTGCGATAAAATCTGGATAGTATATCGATGGTCTGGGTCTCAGTCGCTCCATGTGGGGTTTCAACTGAACTTGGAGGTCATAATCCATGACCTTTGCCCTTTCCATCGAATCGGCGATATTCTCGGAGGAGATGTCCCATCCGTCTATGACCAGGTCATCAGGGCGAACCATCGGTAAAAGATCATGGAAAGGGACATAGACGTCCCCATCTGGACCAGAACCGAGACAGATGGTGCTCGCTTGAGTGATAGACCTTCAACACATTTTAAATGCCAAATATGAGAGGAAGTGGAACTGGGTTCCCATACCTAGATCGAGCTAACAGGATCGATCCATCTCCAAGGGGTTTCTTGCTAAATTGCCTTTAGCTTAAGCGTCTTAGATGTTTGGCACGCCTACTGAAGCTGCTAAACGATAATTAATTACCCCGTAGCAGTTTGAGTAGCGTGACAGACATCTAAGCCGCTTAAGTTGATTGCAATTTATCGAGAATCCCCTCGGAGATAGATCGATCCACAGTTAGTACGACAGGGTCTGGGAATGGTCCCTAATAATCAATCTATGATTTTATTTTAAACTTCCAGTTGCAATAATTTTTTAATATATAAAGTTATAATGGCACACGACTTTACCGACCCGTAATAATTGGCGTGTCTGGTGCCATCTTTGGTCCGCCATGACAGACCGAGTTTATTGGCCAGCGTGGCGGCTGTCACCGTAGATCCGTTATTTCCTCCCCAGCCTACTAGCATCATACCGACCCGGGGTACCTGTGCAACCAGAAATATAGGATTGAGTTTCATCTTTTTATTTATTTTTTACTAAATTAAGATATATAATGGAAGGGAGTTCATTCATTTTTTCTAGATTTTGTTGGTGCCCTAAAATGAAGTGTAATCAGTAGGAGTCTTTTTCTCTTGTTGTTGAGTTTTTTTTTTTTTTTTTTTTTTTTAAAGCTAAAACACACTTCTGTCTTCAGGGTCGCAGGCTCCGGGTTAGGGGGGTTGGGCTTTTGTTCTCGTCGATTTTTGAAAACTAATCTTTTGAGGCATCTCAACATATTTTTAGCCTTTTTCTTTCACCCTTTTCCACAGAGGTATCGGACAAGGTTTCCACGGGCGTAAAAAAATATTCTGCAATTCGCTGACGACTAGCAGAGCTCATCTTGCTCTCGTCTCGAACGTCTGTGACGTCATAAGACATATCCGACGTAACGTCAATCGCTTGCAAAGTTTACGCTAGCAACCTTAGTCGTTATTGACTGTTACTAGTATTACTACACTTAAAGTGTGATTTAGCGAAGTCAGAATGTTAATTTCCTATTTTATGCTCAGTTGGGCTTTGAGAAATTGGACCAAGAGAGCAATAAAGATTGCTGGGATAATGAATAGAAGCTGTAGGCGCCGCCGGCCACTAGAGAGAAGAAGACGAGTGCAGATAGTGAGAGACCTGGGAAATGGGCATGTAGTGGTAGGTATCTCAGTTACACTTTTTTGTTACTTTGGATTGACATTTTGAAAGATTTGTGGAAATGGATTTAATATTTAAAGTTTAAAAGTCTCATTTGCACACATCAAATCCCAGGGCCTAACAACGGGAAAACCAACATTTTTTGTGATAATGGATATGAAGGTTCTGAATTCAGGAAAAGTTTAACTGTTTGATTTGAAATATCACGATTTTGTTTTGATGTAGGCGCACACTGGAATGTACCAATATTCACGTTCCGGATATAAGATATGTTACAACGCATATTGTGTAGATCTAAATGCTGTGAAGGGAATTATGGTGCGAAGATCGAGATACAAATATAATTTTTTCAGGTCCTGGTCAGATATAACCGACCAAGTGGTAATCAGGCTACACCAATGTTGGACCTTGAATAATATGGACGCTTTGTGTTCTGGATTTTCCTCGTGTTACTACCGGGAATGCTGTAAATGATCTAAATGACAGAGACACGCTAAGCAGAATGACAAATCATTTCTGTTGAACAGGCAGAAACATTTTCTGTTTCGTGTACAGCATGAGGGAGGAATGAAGGGAACCAAAGGAGAGCATGGATGACAAAAACAGAGCAATGCGCGTGAGCTGATCAACATGAGGCGTTGTAGTCAACTTTAGGCGTTGCCAACACTGGGCGTCGCTCCCAGGGCACACACGTACAGAGTGATAGAAAATATAGTGTTACGTGTATCCTGCTAGCAACCTCACACACGTTTTGGCAGATGCACGGGGAAATATCGAGAGCATGGTACATAAGAAACTCTCACTATAATGCAATAATAATGAATGGGAGTGAAAGCAAAGGAAAAAAGATGATTTTCAAGGATTCGTCGTATTGATTTAATCGTAAAGCATTGTGCTGATGCTTAGCTGTGACATTGGAGAAAATGAATAACACACTTTTCCGGTACTTATATGTACTAAGTATTTAAATGGATGTATATATTGTACATTTTATATTCAACACTGATTGCTTTGATTTATTAATAATAAAATTATAATGGTGGTATAAATGATAAATGCCGTTTTTGTTTTTGACGGTCTTTTCTGCAACAAAATTATTTTCCAACGGAAAATCAACGCGGCACCCGTAAGTGGCAGTGAATTTAGAGTGCAAATTTACGATTTTGAAGCATTTAGCAATAAACGCTAAAGGCATCTCAAAGCTTTTCCTCTTTGTTTTGAGTGCGACCGAACGCACGCGAAAGTTAATCGCCCCTAGCTGCTCGAGGAGGAGTGTCATTCAGTATACTGATTGCTTTCCGGCAGGGTCCCCGCTGAGTTGGATCGATCTATATAGAACGATACTTTTATTGGGAATGCGCCCTAAGAAATCTAACTGAAAACAGCAACTTTGTTAAAAAAACTTGAAGTAAATTTTGTCAGATGAATTTAAAATGCGGCTTGTCCGTATTTCTACTCTTAAAATGTGGATACATGAATGAAAATCTGTATTTCGAAATCATTAATGATCGAGGGCTGGAGAAAACAATCGACAAAACAATAGATATCATCATGTCCAAAGTCTGCGGGGAAGGGTGGGGAGATTTTTTTCTTCATAAAATATTAGCCTTCCTATTTCCCAGTCCAACTACAGTCTCTTACTTCAGTTAAAGATGAGTCACACTACATACAAGTGGTACAAATAACCTGCTTGCATGTCCAGTAAGCCTATTGTAGGGCTTTAACAGCTCCCTCAATCGATTTTTGTCTTGCCCTGCGGCTCTGGTATTAAGTATCAAATCATATATAAACACGTTAACAATGCGATTTACAATTGTTTGTGGCGTTGTTGCGTTGTTGTACGTAATTGTAATTGTGTGAACCATTTCAGCCCACTGGTTTTTCTTAGTAATGTTTAAATTCAGACCCACCTTTCTTTCCACCCTGAATGTGTATTTCGTTGTCTTTGGTGTAGCAACCAGTTTCCCGTTTTCCTTTCTGACCTCAGTCGTCTCGTAATCATATTGGCTTTCGATGAAACCGTCTGTGTACCGGACATTGGGGCTTTCTACTTGAATGGAAGACATACTGAGTCTGGTTAAGACTTTTTCCTCTTCTTGAAACAAATCTCTGTAAGTGCAAAGCGAGTTTTTCGAATGCAACATTTTGTCAGGCCGACCACACGAGTAAATGACCAAAGTCCCACGTCCAATAATTGCCATATGGCTAAATAGGGTTTTGCCATAGGCCCTAGTCATACTGTACTATTCTTACACTTTCCGTACACATGGATTTTCAGGTTACTGCTTCTTGCCATTATTCCAATATTATTGATCAAAGCAAAAGTGTAATTTTATTTTCTTTATTGGCTTATAAATATATTCTCTATCTATCACATGACAAGTTAAACTGGTTGGTTATAGTGCGGCTCTTTTACTGCAGCTTTTAAATGTAACCTACAGCATCGACACAATTATGAATTCTTAAAGGCGATTCGATTTTGATAACATATTGTTTTTATGTAATGTTTCTGTTTAGACTATATTCTCTCTCTCTCTCTCTCTCTCTCTCTCTCTCTCTCTCTCACACACACACACACACACACAGAGAGAGAGAGAGAGAGAGAGAGAGAGAGAGAGAGATTACTTTCCTCTCATTATGTATGTTAATGTTTTACTGAACGATAACGAAATAGACATACGTATTCATAAACTATCTAACATATACATACCAATGACAAACAACATGCATTTCATGAGGCACACTAGTAAGCAAATAAAAACAAAGAAAAGCATGCAAGCACAGGTGCACGCAGCTGCAGGTGAATCAAACTTCAAATTACATAGACACGTAGGGACTACCAAGTGTCCATGCACACTGTCATAGTGTGTCATATATTGTTAGTTTACCGACCCAATTTGAAAAGGTCAATTACAAATTAAAAGTCCACAACAGGACAGACAGAAATACAGGGATATGATAATGAAATGGTTCCACATAAACCACAAATGTGAAAAACATCAATGTGTCAGATCTTTCTGTGCTGCCCACCTTTCAAATTCACTTACTTCTGCCTAATAATTTTGATAATTCAAGTAGCATTCAAAGATTAGCCTTGACTAATACATATGCACTAGCACTGTTAGTTATTGTGACATTAACAGCTACTATATCCATCAAACGTAGACCTAAACTGACCTTTATGGAATAAACAGCCGAGGTCGATGAAGCTGTTTGATGGGTTTTTGTCAGTGCAAGCTGCCTTCAAGGTGTAGAAATATGCAGTATCTTTCTTAACAGCGACTGTCAGCACATAAAAACGTGTACCTGTGGTTGTGTACCTATTTCATTTGCCGGTTGCGCGTCTCTGTTTTGCGCATCAGCTGATTTACGTGTCATGTTGCAGGCGCAGCGTGTTCCGGGCGCCCGCGTCATTTGTGAATGAATCGCATAAATTTCTAACTAACCACATCCGGGTTAAGCCTTTTCATCGATCTTTTTCTTGGCTGGCAAGGTTAAAATGTAAGCGGGAAATGAAGATGTTTTGCCACAAACACTAGTACGGTTTTAATTCAAAATCCCATCACACATACAAGTGTAATTGATTACAAGCATGATACTAGCAGGTATGATAATCTGCTAACTCAATTTTAGTTTTCATCTGCCATGCCAGTATTCGATGTGGGCAGTTTGTAAACATAATGGATATGTACATAGCTTATGTATGTTATTGTTGGTACGAGCATATTCTTGAGTATGAATGATGTCAGGTAGATTTTCTTATAAACGATAATATGTGAAGGATGAGTGACAGATTGAATAGCAAGCAAAATAGATAAATAAGAAGATATGGGCAACATTCTGGCGCTTGATAAAGGATTAGCTTTTAAATGGACCAATTTGGAACTCTATTTCGGTCCAAACACAGTAATTGTCAGTCCAGACTCATGCGCTCCTACTATTGAATTGTTTTTAACATTTTATTGGTGTCAAACACTTCAAATGTCAGTATTTGAAATTGTGATATTCCTATAATAAAGCATAGCATCATATTTAAATTAATTATGTATAATTGTGTTATGACGTATGCGGCAATCGAGTTTTAGTAGCGTTCAAGGCTATAATTGCGTTGCGTTTGCTAAGGCTTCGAGTTGACAGGTGGGCAAATAGCGATTGATCTCTATGCTAGCGTGCCAACGTAATTTCTGATGCTTTCGAGTTATATGCGTCAATTGTGTTAGTTGCACTAGTTTGAGTACAAAGTACAATCTTTCATTCCCTTCTTTCATTCCATTGCTACATTTTGGACAGAAACTACAATCTTACCCGTGGGTCCTGACATGGCTGATACGGTCACTAGATGCTGAGAATTACGAATATTTCAGCTTCAGGCACCTAGCTAGTACAGAGGACGCTATCATAAATCCTTGGAAGTTGGAATCAAGAGTCAGATTTAGGAGCAAAATCACCATTCACGTGGCCAAGAGCCATAATAATTATAGTAAAGAATAGTTCTGTTCCATTATCCTATGTAAAGCCATTTATATGTCTGTACTGCAGTACCGCCATGTACAAAATCTATTTCTATCTTACATTTTAATGGGTTTACTTAACAGGTTCATGAAAAAATATCATCTCAACTTAAGGTTCCGTGAACTGAGTCTGCAATGTAAAGAAACATTTTATATAGAAGAATTTTTCTTCACAAACAGAAAGGGCGTTGTTTCCATTTTTATCCTTTCTTTTTTGTACTTGCATGTCTAATATTGCATGTTGTCCACAGCGCTTACAAAAGACCTAAAGATTCCTGAATTTAAGTTCAGAAAATCTTTTGCAACTATTGACAGTAACAATATTCTTATAAATGCCATGATTTGGCAGTTGGCATAGCAAATACTGTGCACGTATGAATAAACTGAATGACCTGACAGGCAGCATTAGCAAATTACTTAGTATTGCATTATCGATAAGAGCAACATCAAAATTATAACTGTTGCAACTTTAACTCAATGCTAAATTGTGTTCGTCATACTGTGTCAATCGTTTGACTGGGATGTTAAATGAGAAATATGTGGGCTGCAGTCGTTGAATGCTTACAACTGGGAATTTGCAGGCCAGTACATAGTTGCTGAACTACTTGGTTTTGAAGAAAAGCAGTGATTCTGCGCGCGCGATGTGGGGGTGCGTATTCGTCTTGGTACACAATGTTGTTCTTGAAGATGGTTCTTGCAAAGGGAAGCATTGTTTGCTGTAGAATGTCTCTGTGGGGATCTTGGTTGAGGTTGCTTTCTAGAAAAACCAACTGGTTCTGGGCACCGTTTTGTGGCAAAAAATTGATTTCATGTGCATCTTTAAGTGATCAGCATTGCTTCAAACAAAGCATTTTGTCAGTGAAATTCTATATACGAACATGCAGTGTGTTCTTCAGGACGACTTCAAATATGTGATGTCCCAGACTCTATGTGGCTATTGTTGCTTCATTTAAACTAATGTAAAATTTGCTTTTTCAAAGGCTCCTGTCAGAGGCTGCAGATAATACATCTATGTCAAATCTCATATTACTTCATGCATTTTTCATGCTCGAAATTTACAAATTCGTTGATCTCATGCTTAATTTGATTAATTTTGTTTCCGTGACATAAATTTTCTTTTAGATTATTTATTGGAATGGCTGTGCGAAATAAATGTATCCCACAAACACGGCATTCTATGCAATAAATCAACGCTCTCTGCTTTCACAAGTGCTAAGCATCATTAAAAGTGACTTGGTTTCAAAAAGTGTTCATCAAAATAAATGGCGGCTTGAAATATGTAGAGCGGTATATTTCGGCTATTATACCTTCATTTCAACCAATGTAATAAATTTTGTGAGGCTGCTCGGATGGCTGCGGATAATATGTTTATGTCAAATTTATTATAAATTATTTTTTTCATGCTGACGAAGTTTTCAAAAAGTTTTGGAAATCGTTCCTGTTTGAGTTTATTAGTTATGCACAGTGTTTTGCATGTCCTGTGCCGAATTGATCAGTGATGAATACATTATACTATATCTAAGGGGTCAAGTATGTTAAGTATTTTAAATCTTTGAGACCCAAAGGACCTCGCGTTATTGTGAACTTCTCAGCTTGCAGCATCATTTTGAATTTTTTACCGTTTCTAACCGTTTCTAATCTCTCTCTCTCTCACACACACACACACACACGCACACACACACACACCAAATAGGATACATTTAGCTTTGGTTGTCCGCAGAAGTACCTTAAAATAAATTATACGAATATAAATAAATAAATAAATAAACGTTTCACAAAAGCATCAGATATCGTTTACACTACGATGTCACGTACGTGCGTGTGATAAAACGCAGTTCACCCTGACCGTTATAGAAAGTGTGCACATGGCAATGTAAAAATAACTAATTGGCCGAATAAGGAAAGGAAACGATTGAGCGAAAAATGCTACAGGTGAGACCGTTGACATCGGTGGCTATTTGTGTTCCAGCTTTTCTCGGTTGATACAAGGGTCCTGGACCTAGCATTGCAAATTGTACGGTGCTTTAGTTGTGAGTGACGATGATTTGTCATATACTATATTTTTGGCATTTCCCCATTTCCACTTCTATGATGGCAGTGAATGAGCTAAAATAACTAATGTGCAAACAAGTTTTATTTCATTTTAACTAATATGCTATTAAATGGATGTAGGCCTATACATATTACACGTAGGCCTACTACATTATACGATTCACGAACTGTACTCGTATATCGGCTAACTAGACTAGTGGTACTACAGCTCACTGCATCATTGTTGAAGTAGGCATACTGATCAATGTTAAAGCGAGTGCAAAGTAACATTTTCAACATTTATTTTAATTGACATACCTACGTAGGAGCCCACGCATATTTAATGAAGGCTTTAAAAGTACAGTCTCCAAGACCTTTGGCCATTCTTACGTGACCTGGGTCAGGTTAGGGTCTAAAGCGGGTTGACTTACTCGCGGTAAGGTCAGGGGGTTGAGCGAAAGAGCCGCGATATTTAGTGCGTATAGGGGCCTAATATATAGAATAGTGGGGAAACCTACAAATATGGTATTGTCATCAAGTATACTGCACTTTTGGGACAAAAGTCGTGGATCATGTTAATTTAATTTGATTTAATTTAATTTAATATAATTTTTGTCAAGTAGGCCCTATTCAAGCACTTTCAAGCTTTATGTGTCCTTTATTTGATATATGCTGGTTGTACACGTAGGCCCTATCTTGTACAGTGGGGTCTATTCGCTAGCTCTTCATCTTTGTGACCTATTTGTTATCAGTCAAACATAGGCCTATGTTTTTCCCGTGCAGAATACCAACAGGCGTCAAAATTCACTAAAATATAGTATAGGGATCCGATCGAAAGTAGGCGTATTATACAGGTAAACAATATGCGACCATTGATACGTTTCATGTTGCTCTTTACAATTCACGCTGTTGTTGATTCTGAGGATGTGTCTGTGACAACAGCAAACGGCGACCTTGTTGGCCTCGTCGCGGATACCATACTGGGGCGCGTGGTGCAGTTCCTCGGCGTTCCCTACGCCAAGCCACCAATCGGTAAACTGCGTTGGAAGCCACCAGAACCTCCTGATAACTGGCGTGGGCCGAGGGCTGCACGTTCTTTCTCCCCGTGCTGCCCTCATAGCTATAAAACCCAGGTTGAGCATTTTTACACAGAGGAATTTGTGCGGGCCCGTATAAGAGACCAGACTATGAGCGAGGACTGTCTCTACCTTAACATGTACGTCCCGAGAGCAGTGGTACCAGATCGAGAACGTCTATTACCGGTATTTGTCTATATACACGGCGGGAAATACGAGTGGGGATCTGGGGTCGAGTTCAATGGGACCTTTCTGGCACTACAAGGTAACATGATTGTCATCACATTTAACTATCGCCTCAATATATTTGGATTTCTGTCTAATGGTGAACCAGACCTCGCGGGGAATTATGGTGTGTTTGACACGGTCCGGCTCCTTGAATGGATCCAAACAAACATCCGGGCATTTGGAGGAGACCCCACCCTCGTGACTGTTAGCGGCGAGTCAGCAGGTGGAGTAATTGTCGACTTGTTGCTGACAGCGTGTCCGCAGGTGCGTACTCGTGGACTGGTAAGGAGAGGAATTGCTCTAGGTGGGGTATATCATCTGAGGCGTCACAGGGCGCTGATTGAACAACGTACAATTAACAACAGCAGAGCGATCGCAGCTCTTTTAAATTGCACGTCAGCACACGGGGAAATAATTGTGCGCTGTCTTCGCAAGAAGTCAACAGACGAACTACTTTCAGCTTTTCTGCATTACCAGAGAGATCCAGTGTTTGCGCCAAATTTACTTCTTCCCATTCCTGATGGGAATGTGATCGACAGATCACTTGAATACCCCGGACCAGGAGCCCATGGAAAGGACTACATGATTTCTGTCTGCAACTTCGACAGCGGGGCCTGGTTTGGGATTGGAGGAACGGGTCCAGAAATCAACACGACGGCTGCCATATCTTTTACCAAAGGATTGATACAAATGCTTTATCCGGGTGCTAATGATTTTATGACCGACGCCGTAATATTTGAATATACGTCTCCCAACCTTCGAAAAGCGCATCAAAGCTGGCTAGAATTATGGCAAGATGCTTTTTTTCTTGCCCCCGGATGGGAGCATGCTTTACTTTGGCCAAAAAATGCTAACGTCTACTTTCTTAACTTTGCACATAAACCGTCTTTTTCAAAATGGCCGTCAGTGATTAATGGCGCCAACCACATGGAGGAGTTGTATTTTATGTTTGGGGATGTATTGGATGCAGCGCTGTTCCCATCGCGGCCAACCGACGAAGAAGTGGATTTGAGTATACAATTTATGACAGCCGTTGGGAACTTTGCATGGACTGGGTAAGTGTGAGTGAATTGGGCCCTAAGGCGAATTATAACATGTAGTATTACTTGGGTATTCGCTGACGCATTAAATACACGGTTAGAAAAATGTATGCCTAGAATTTACTAAGTGTTATTCTAGTTATCAAAATTGATCATTTGATCATTTTAAAAAAATATACCTGCATCCTTCATATCGTAACTATTAAGGAGGTTTTGTATTGCACCAGTGTAGGTGCAGAAAATCTTTTCTTTTACCTAGCCTCTTTTAATTCAACTTGACGTCTTGGCTTGCTTTATTATTTTGGATAGAATCACTCGAACCTGTTGCTTAATTTTTAACACTGTCTTGTTTAAATTGTATTTGTTAAATTGTTTTAAAAGGTAACACGTACATTTAAATTCGTATCACGCTTGTCAAAAATATATTACACGTTATACGTCAGACGCAAGCAATACTATTTATGTTTACATGTTGGACGCGCTAATATGTTTTTATACATTCATGAAAATTAGAATTTGATGCCTCTGGTCTCTTTTTAGCAATCCCAATCCAATTTCTACCTCGGCTCCACCAGTTCCAACGTGGCCTCGGTTTGATTCAACAGACAAACTGTACTTGGATTGGACTGTAGGGTTGACGTCATCTAACGTGAAACGAGACTTGAAAGCGAGGCGCATGGAGTTTTGGAATACACTTCTCCCAAAATTCCTAAGTAAGTTGTTATTATCACAATGTAATCATATTATTATCAACATATTGCTATATTTCAATTATAAATAGTTTGCAAGTGTTACCTATCAAGCTGTTACTAGTTAAGGCATGTTCAAATTAGTAGAGACCATTTTACTTGGCGTATCTAAATGTTTATCCACCATACCGGATACTTGCCCAAGAATTTACCTAAATTTCATTAACTCCCAATGTGAACACATTTTACCATTTGGATTCCTTACTTTCATAGCTAACAAAGGCTGGAGAGCCTGGAGTGACTGGAAACCATGCCGGCAACCCTCCATTGGCACTGGCACTGGCAGTAGGTACATGTATTATAGTTGTCGTAGAAGGCTTTGCGACAATCCTCTTCCAGATTCTGCCGGTCAGGAGTGTACTGGGGAAGAAATTGAATGTGTTGAGTGCAGCTACGGTAAGTAAATTGAATTTGAATACCAAACACCGCTTCGTATATATATATATATATATATATATATATATGTAAAACATTTTGTAAAGTTCTAGTAACCAACTTCACAAAATACCGGTATGTAGTTAAAAATGCAGTGCCGCAGTGAGGTGTTTCATGAACTATAAAATAAAAAAAAAAAAACGATTTGTGCCGGTGTGACAGGAATGGAAGTCCTAGGAATGGAAGTCCGAAGTATCATATAACCAGTACGTGGTCGGGTTAGTCGGAGTATTGGGGTTAGTATATGGGACGAAAGGGGAAAGGACTGCAATTCCTAGCGGAATACCATTCCTGTTTCAACGGCATTGTGAATACGATCATATATGTCTTGTGACACATTTTGTTCCAAATATTATTTTAGAACGTAAACTGTCTCTTTCTTATTGAACCAGTAATTTTCATTACGGGTTGAAACGCCTGGATAGCTGCAGCGGAGAGCATCAGTGCATGCAGTCAAAAACATTCTTGAAATGTTAGATTTTTGAAATTGTTATATTTCTTTACTTATTTTATTTATTTTGGTTAACCTATATGATATGCAAGCATCTTATGTTTAAAGCGGGTGTATTTAGCATGATATGATGTAAATAATGCTGAGCGAGCCATTAACTGACTTTGGGAATCCATATCAGAAATTATATATGTACAAAATGCTCAATGCAAACAAAATACATAAATGTACATATAAAACCCAGATCTCTAGGGCACTATTTTAGGTTTCATAAATATGAAATACCCGTGTCATATGTGTCGCCTTCTCTATTTCAGTGGATCTTGTGTGCAACATATTCGAGTCATTGGGTGTTTGTAACTGCGGGATATACTCTGACCATGAATACAGAACGATGCACGCAGTCCCTTGATTAAATGCAGCCTGTAATTGTTGGTCACCGAAGGATTGTCATTGACTTCCAAGTTTTATGAGATAAGCCAATTATTTTATATAAAAGGGGAGAAGGCAAGGTGTAATGTTATAATTCTAACGTTAGTTTGAAAATCGTGTGTTTTTGTGACTGCTGGTCTTCGGATGGTTTAAACGAAAATATGTAACGAACCTGTCTGTTAGTTACTCATGTCAATCAAAGCAAGAGAGTAATCGGCACAAAAATTTCAGAAATAATTCTTGTCAATCTGAGACAGAATGCGATGTGTAATGCTGGATTTTGAAAATCTGGTTAAATACTCACATGTGTGACGAAACTGAGGGTCTGTAACAGAAAGTCCGCCCTTTATTTAGTTATGATGGTCAGGGTTAGCCTGGCATGAGTGGGTCAAAACCCAGGGCGAGGCTTACCTGTGCAAATGAATGGGAAGCAGACTCTCTATCGCGGGGAACTCTCCGTCACATCACACTGGCACTCACGCGCAGAATTAGGACTATTTTGTGTCGAGCTGTTTTCCCCAGGAATTTGGTCTAGTAACTTTAACTTTTCCGTTTGCTGTGCTTAGAACACATGCGTTATTTATATAATTAGGACCAATGCAATGATTGAAGTGCGCGGAATTACATTTTGACTCCCCTTTAAGCTGGTGTAATGATAATATATCAAGAGCAGATATGATGAGAAATGGACAGACGTTATGTTGGCTGTGCAAGAGTACTCGCTTAAGCTATTTAAGTTTATGTTACTCTAAGGCTGCATGCGAGGTTTGCATAACTCTCATTATGATTGTCCAACTGCGACCTGATTATTCAGAAACTTGGACTGTTGGTGAATTCGGCTAAATAAAGATGCGTTCCAATTGATTAGGTCGACTAAAAAGAGAATACTGCCAAGATAAATCTAAATAATTTATGTGAAAGTCGCTAAAGCTAAAATCTTGGTCTGCTTCAAAACCCACTTCAAATTAAGTATTTGAACTGAGTTTTTATAAAAACTATTGGAAAATCCAGAGGAATAGGCCTAATAAATATAGATTAGTTTAAGTCTTCTTTTTCAAATATATTGTTACTAAAATCCACGTCAATATGTACGCATGAAATAAGATCACTTTGTTCAAACAACCAGTTATCTTCGTCACTGGATCACTGGATAAGACTAGACGACCTACATCTTGCTATCTACAAGACGGTAGATACTGTTACTCAACTTAAGAGGTGGAGGTAAAAAAATAAGGGTCCAAACAGAAAGAAGTACACGCCAGGGAAACGTACGTGTTTCTTAAGACATGGAGGAGACCAAGTGGTCTTTCCTGATTTTCTGCGTATTATGTTTGGTCGTCTTCACGAGTGGGTTCTTACCTAACCATGACAATGATTTTGGGAACTCACCGACTGCGTTGAATTATAAGCACGATGATATTACGGAGGCGGCCTTGCTGCGTGTCATAGCGAGGCTCCTTGAAGACACTCCCAAGCCGGATGGTACGAAGGTCGCCAAGGGAACTCTGACTGGGTTGAAGGATCCTACACCTCAGAGGCTTTTTGATGCATATTACGGCAGTAAGTTACAGTGTGATATATTGTACTGCAGGGGCGGATCCAGAGATATTTTCTGACAGTCTTCCAAATAATCTTTGTTGATCCATCCTCCATTTTTGACCGTCTTCCGACAGAAAAAAATAGATACCCATCATGTACACTTGAAAATCTGACCGTCTTCCAGAAGACTTCAATCCGCCCCTGGTACTGGCATGTATTTTTAAATAGTTAAAACTATTTTACGATTCAGACATTATCAGCGTAATGTTGGGTTATTTAAACTTTTTTGCGGTACGCGGTTAAAGAGTTAAACGGGGACTTAAAAATCAAGTCTTTTCTGCATAATAAATATCGCCCAACCGTTATATACACAAGATGCAGAATCAAATGCATATATATGGCTTCTGTTTTTCAGAGGGACAGGTGCTTGCGAAGAAGCTGCAAGAATCCATTGAGACAATTGTTAAGTTCAACGCCATTGTGGACAAGGATCATAGAGGCGAGGCTTTGTTTCATTTCAATGGAGAACAGATCAAAGAAGGTGAGAAGGTGTAGGGTCACGCACATAGGAAATAAGTCTGAGGACCTTTCATATCATCCTAGGATTTTATTTTTATCTTTATACAAACTCATTATTAATTGATTCATTCATTCCGTGTGTGTTTTAAACACACACGGGGACGGCATGAATTCTTTATTACTGCTATAGAAAGCAGTGGTAACAAATCAAGTCAAGGTGATAAAGAACATTACATCTATTTTTTTTCAAAATATGCTAACTTCAAAGTATATCTACTATAAAGCAACGTGTTAATGTTATTGCTATTCAGCGCCAGAATTCCCATGCCCAGGAAGTACTCTACAACAGAGATACATTTTATATTTCCTTTATTTCTATTCCCAACAGGGTTTGAAAAACTCAGCGCCGCACGAGAGCTCTTCAAAGCCCTCGTTACGGCTAAAAAAGCAAATTTTGACGTCCTTCGTCAACTGCTGGGAGTACTTTTACACATGGTTCAGGATTTTTACAGTAACACCAACTGGATTGAAATGAAGGGACCGGTTGTGTACCAGGACTTAGGTAAAGCTTACCACCTTTTTTGTTTTAGTTGTTTTTTAATTTTCCGTTATTTCAAAACTTACATTTATTATTGATTTATTTACTTGGTATGTTGTATTTTATTTTTTTATCTCAAAGGACTCAAATATACGGAAGAATAACAGAAATACTGACCTCACACAATTGTTGTAGGTATCAAGGGCAAACCCATTCTTCCCGTGGCTTCACCAGGTATTATGACATGCCAGAGCTGTACCGGGTAAGTACACGTGCGCAACGGACAGGTGTCAATCCTCGTCATGTCAGAGAACCTCGGGGCTGGCCTAACATAACCTAATAGCACAGTCACAGCCAACACAGACCCCGACATTAATTCCACGCCCATATACATTGCTATACTTACTACATATTGCATAAACCGACCCATCCTAGTATACCCTACAGGTACTCTTTTGCACTAAACCATTTTTATTTTGAAATCGAGTAGCATAACTTGCAAGTAATAAGATGGCTGCTTATCCACAAATGAATTTCGGGATCTCACTAACAAAGTCCATATGCTTTCTCTAGGCAGTGCAGAAATAATATCATCCTGACGGGCGGCGTCTTGACCAGCGGTTACAGAACTGGACAGGACATACAGAAGCCAGGTGGGCATGGCATACAGCTGTTCCATACAATTCATACAGTTGAAACTGTGCTGTGACGATGAAATTATATGCACGATGCACACGTATGTTATACGCACAATATATTTTAAACAGGCGATGATTTCTAAGAATTTGGCTTGGCACTTTATGTTATGCCACCTCCCTCTTTTCGTTTTAGATTCTAAATTTAAATCTCGTGGCACTGGGAAATGCAGCCATGGCGGTGAAGCTGATGCAGACTCCAAGGTCAAGACAGCCACTGGGGGTATTAATAAGGAGACGACCGTTGAAAAGCTATCCCCACATTATTATCTTCACTCCGATGCTGGGAAGACAGCAGTCCGTGCTACAGAAATGTACATTGATGGCCAAGGTAAGGTGTAGCGGGTATGTATATTGCCTGGAAAGTTTTTACAATAATTTTCAGAGTCTGATTAGTCCTTGTGGAAAATTCAGTATGTTCAACTTTGCGTTTTTTATTACCAGCATTGTAATTTCAATTGGATACATTTATAATTGAAAGGAGCCCGCGTGTTTTAGGAATTGGATTACGACAGGAAATTGGTGATGCCATCTTCAGAAGGCTATTTCAACTGTCACCTGGGAATTCCTTAGTTTTTGTGATTGACACAACCGGATCTATGAGTGAAGATATTGCTGCTGTGAAACAGGAGACGCTAAAAATCATACAGATTACCAAAGGCCAATTAAGCTCACCTTCCGAATATATACTGGCAACTTTCAATGACCCAGGTACGAATAGTATGACACACACACACACACAGAAAGAGAGAGGGGGAGAGAGAGGGAGAAGCTTGCGTGATTATTTGTGAAAATCAAATCTATACTTGCATAAAACTGTGTCTCGAGTCAGAGAGAGAGGGGTAGAGTTTTTTGTCCGTGGAGCGCACCAAGTCATTGTCACGCGTATCTACTGAACAATTATTGCTATTGATATTTTTGATATTGCTAATGTTGACCAAACTAATAAAAGATGCGCTTGGGCAGTTTGGTGGTAATTTAGACGTATGAAATGAATGCTCGTTTCATTGCAGCTAACCTCACTGAGGTTCGTGTAACTAATGACTCGGATGTCATGGTGTCTTGGTTGAAGGCAATCAAAGTCAAGGGCGGAGGGGATTGTCCAGAATACCTGCTCAGTGGCATGATAGAAGGTACAATAGTGTTCTGCTCATAGACTTACCAAGAAATTGCTTTGGGATTTTTCCTCGATCAGGTGCATCATTTGGCATGTTGAAGTTCTGTCTAATGAATATCTTTCTTAACTCCTGCGAAAATTTGTCTCCATAGCGCTCACTTCCTATAACATAATGTTTTACTCTTTAAATGAAAAAATATTCTTAATCTATACTAGGACATTCTGAAGGACTTCCTTAAAATAGTTCTCGAACTGTTACATTCATTACATAACAACATTAGAACTGTAAAATGTACACTAAATGGTCTAGAATAGATTAAGAACCGTAAGTGAACGTTAAGCGAGACAAATCTTCGCAGGGGTATTTATTTTTAGTTTTGTATTCATCTGTTTATAGTATATAACGTGACACAAAGCTCTTACTTACATATGGTATGCATAAATTAGAATAAGACTGGTTTGTTTTTTTATCAGTGAACACTTTAAATTATAAAGGCACTTGACTGTAAACATTATAAAGCTCACAACCAGGTAGTTCATTATTTATGATTATTTTAGTTTAAACGCCAATTTGCAAAAAAAAAAAAAAAATGCAATCGAGCCTTTCCACATGCTATGGCAACTCTTGTGAACTCCTATTAGTGAAGTACACTACTCGTTAGATAATTTTGTCATTATACTTGTTACGTGTACATATAATAGAGATTAATGGTTCTGTCCCTCCTTTAAGTACCCAAGACAAACCGTTTTTAGTGTATTTTGGTAGGCTTCTTCAGGGCGGGATTCGAATCCTCTGTATATTGGAACATAAGTGTTTAAATGACTCTTCATAGTCTTGTGGCGGTTAGAACAATACGTGTATGGATTGTACGTGTCATGCATACTTTTGCTTTACAGCTGTGAAGGTGTGTCAACCTGATTCGCAGATGTTTGTTTTCACTGACGCTGACGCAAAAGACCCAGAGAGAATGTCCGAATTTATAGCTTTGGCAGCAGCCAAACGGGTTTCGCCGGTGTTTTTCTCCACCGGCAAATGTTCAAAAAGACGGAAACGAACAGGTTTTGCTCTTATTCCCCTTAGCTAAAGGACAAGTTTGCAGCAATATTGCTGCAAACTTAAAAAATTCGGCAACAAGTTTGCAATTAACTTTCTATTGCTGCTAATTTGTAGCCGTATTAAAGCAAATTTGCTGCAAAACTGCAGCAGGCCTGATATTTTGCTAAGGTCGTCCTTGTTAGGATTAACTTTATGTAAATATAAGTGCTCACGCTATGCCATAGAAACACTGACTGACAATGCAATGGGGACTGCTGTTGCAATAACTTACATCATATACCTAAAATGCTTTCACTTTTGGAAATAAAAGCACGCGACTAATAAAAACTTACAGTTAGCGAGGTCGTCATTTATTTCTTAGATCTCATTTTCCACCCTCTGCTTTTCAGCATCCGCCGGTGACATTTTTGCAAAGCTCTCTGATGCTATGGGAGGAACAGTTTTCACTACCAACAAAGCTGAGATCAACGAAACGGTCAAAATCATTTCGGTAAGCAATCTTATCTATGTGGTGTATGGGGATATGTCAACAGGAGCTTGATTCACATACATGTAAGAGCTTTAGTACAAAATTGTGCTCAACTTTGAGACCAAGAGTTAATTTTGAAGTGCGATTAAATGGTGCATCGTGACTGATTTTGTAACGAGAAATATACTGACGCTAATTTTGGTTTAAACATTCATAACAAGTCTGAGGATATAGCTGTATTGTGAAACCAGTCCATGTTGGTAATATTTTAAAAATATACTTGTGAATACAACTTTGATTAATCGTAAATGTCCTACCGGACCCCATGCGTAAGTACCAGCCAATTAGTAATTCTTGTTGTTAGTGAAATTTCGCCTTAAAAATCAGCTCTTTTTTGACATTTTTATCGCTACTGGTATTTTTCATGTATTGTTCTCCCTCTTTCAGTTGTCAGTTGAAGACACTGCCCAGGCAACGTTACTGAAGCATGTATGGACGTTTTCCAGCCAGACCAATGTGCGCATGCTCCGTGTGGACCACACGGTGGCTCAGTTGTCTGTCAGAGTACGAGGACTGTCTGGTACTCCCGCAATTAAGATAATCAACCCTGAAGGTATGGGCGTTTAAATATGTATACGTGTACTGTCAATTTCTTTTCTATACCAGTGTTTAGGAAAATCATATTATCTCTTTCGTGTCGTCGATAACACTTATTGGTGACATTTTGTAAGCAGAAAAACGTGAAAGGTCACAGGCCAGTCTTGAACTTGTTTCCTACTAAAACAGTTCAGTTGTAAAGTATTATAGAGGGTATAGGCTGAAAGGAGACAAGGCGTGACAGAAGCACCCGACCACTAATTGTACGCATTTTGTATATACGCAGGTATCGAGCATGGTGACTTGAAAGTAGAACGTGCAGGGAATTTTGTCCAAGTGTACAACATTAAAGTGAGTACTCTACTGAGTTCTGCTATTCGTACTGCAAGTACCAATCTGCAGAAGCATAGCGATAAATGGTCAGAGTAACTGCATTTCAATGTTTGAATACATTTGCACTGCATACATTGGTACTGTTTCAAGAAAGTTTGCAGTATTGCTTGCCACAAGAAAACAATACCTATACCCGAGACGAATCTCACATTTCAAACAATTATTATCGTGCTTCTGAAATAGCAATAAAAACATAGAAATTAGCAAAATCGATATAAAAGCGCAATCTGGAATACAATAAAAAGTTGGGCGTTTAATTTTTCCTTTGGCAGGAACCGCCCCCTGGTACGTGGAAGATCACCCGCATGATCAAGGACGAGTATGACGTCAGCGTGACGGGTCACACCACCCTGGACTTTACTTATCAGTTCCTGGAAACGGTGACAAACACTGGCAATGTGTTTCCTGTACATGGTCAGCCATTAGCAGGTACTTTAGTACCCTGTATCTGTAACACTAGTAGTTTTTTAATCAAAACTGCGTCTAGGTATTATTATTATTATTATTAACAGAGGACTGTAAATTGCTATGGTGAATACAGTAAATAACAAGACAGTCACAATTTTAATTAATTAATTACCGTCATTTAATATATATAAAAAAAACTATGAAGTGATCTTAAGTAAAATGAGAAGTAAAACCCTGATTCAGAAGATCAACTGCTTTGATTTTACTTCATGAAGAACAGTTAAAATGAAACTTACGCAACATATTGTCATACACTGATGCTTTTGTTATTTCAAGGGGAAAATACGACGATACTGATCTCTTTGACGCAGTCGGTCCAAGTTGCAGGCTTAGCCAAGATGTCCTTTGTTGACAGAAATGGACTTCTCATGTCAGACGTCATGTCGATGACTAAAAATGGACCTAGACGATTTATTGGACACGGTGTCATCCCAGTAAAGGTAACATTAAGATTATGAGTAATTTGGTGTCATATAATTATTTATCTATCCAAGGAATTATATTGGAGTATAATCTATAGAAATGATATATGTGAAAGAAAAAAGTATTGTGAATAACTTGCCTCAGGTGTTTTAAATGTGACATGTACACCCAATTAATTGTGTGCTTTAAAATCATGTTATTCACATTTTAAATATTTTCACTAAGACCCTCACTTTCAGAGTTTCTCAGTGATGATCTGGTTCACTGACAATTTGGGGCACGTTGTGATGAGACAGAGCTCTGCGATGGTTGCACCGTCAGTTTCGAAACCTGCCAAGTATTATGATGACGACATCTATGAGAAAATGATGTCACTCAAACCTCTTAAAGTAAGTCAAGTGGTGCCTTCCACGCAATGAAAATAATTATGGGTGACGGCCTTTTACGGCGACACAAATGCAGATAAACATTTTGCTTTTTCTAATTTTTAACTGAAAAGAAAAAAAACTTTTAAACTTTAGTCAAAAGCAAAATGTTTGATCTAGGTATAACAATAGAAGACCTCTCACTTAAAATAAATAACCTAAACTATATCCTTTCCAGGCTACAGTTGCATCAAAATCCTTGTCATCTAACAGAACCCTACTGACAACTGTCATCGTCACATCGGTCCTTCTTATCATTGCAACGGCGCTTATGGTGGTGATTCGAAAGAGGAATCTACCTCCTACCAGTAAGAAGAGTCTGGAAGGCAAGAAGATCATGTTGGGTTCCAAAAAACCTTCCATCACGTGTATTGTCAGCCTCGATCCCGAGAGTGGTAGCGTGTTTGGGACTGAACAGGAAAGAGGCTCCATCTTCTAAAATAACGTGTCCGATTGCTATCACAGATATAACTGACGTTTATTTAATTCCTTCATTGACACACTAGTTAGGCTTGTTAAAAAATTTGTAATTTGGTGATAGTTAAAAATGAACTATAAACATATACCGGGTATTTACCAGTCGTACATTTAAGTGACGGACTCAGTGCAGGACATCTTGCTGTTATTCTGCTTACCGACTGTAACATGACACGTATTCTGCATGTGAATTGCGCACCAAGTCTTACCGTTACTTAGCATCCTCCAGTTGAATCTGTATTTTCACTCATCGATCATCGCTTCTAGATGATTCTTATTTTAACTGATTGTCCTTATAAAAAGCTGGGAATCAAAAGACCGTAGATTTTCATGGTCCCGCTGAAATTGTTTCAGCATATTTTGACGCTCCTCCTCCTCGTGTCCTGCGTAATGCACATACATGTGTCACTTATCAAAACACAAAGCATGCGTGAATTTAATAATAAATTGGCTTCATTTCCCAAAATATTTCTGTTCTACTGTGATACCATGCACACTTATAGTTTTGAGCAACGCATATTAATGGTCTTTTATATTTAACATTTTAAGTGTAACCTCGAACTTCTCCATGTCACAATAATGAAAAACTTAGGTTACTGTATAACTCAATCCTTTTTGCTTTAAAATCGTTTGAGATCTTTACTAATGGCGCTTTTATTTATTTCATTTATTCATTTTCGTAAGCTTATATAAATAAATAAATTATCTCTGTGATACTGTTTGCTGTATTCCTGTAACCCCCCCCCCCCCCACATAAAAAAAAAAACTGATTTGTTTTGAGTCTGTTGGTAATCAGTTACATGTATAACAATTTGATCGAAGTATTTCACCCTGATAACATTATACATCTTGACGCGGGACAAGCTCCAAGTGCATTTATATATTGATAAACTAGTGTAGAATTAACAAAGTAATAAACCATGAAAAATTCCCCTCAGTATCATTCTAATACATTATTTTATGATGTTCCTCCCGCAGACGGTGTTTAAACGCATTACTTATAGCTTGGATTTTCATTTCAGTTGTTTCGGGAATATATATTTTACAAGTCAAAGGAAAAAAAGGAAAACTGACAATCCCTAATATATACACACACACACAGAGAGAGAGAGAGAGAGAGAAAGAGTTATTGTTGATCATGAGCTCTATGGCAATGTTCACCTTTGTGGCAGTATATTGACCCCTGTGACTGTCATGCACTGTTGACAAACACTGATTAACCGCTGTCACCATGAGGATTATCTCAACTGAACGCGGGTATCTGTGGCAACAGTGATTAAAGAGACACGTAAACCAATACTGTATTTGGTGAAGTATGGTTAAGGCCACGGCACAGATAACCTCGATAGAATATTAGTACATGTAGCAGAAAGGAAAATGGCTGAAGAGACAGGGCATGAAATGCTGTATTTTTTTAACTGATTATTGTTTTCTGCGACTGATTCTTTGTGCAGAATGCGGACGGTGTCGTACATGGTCATAGTGCAGTGCTTGTTCGTGTGCGACGTGGCGCTCGGTGAGGGACAAAGAGTTTCTTTGCATAATTACAATACGGAAGACCATAGCTTTTAGTTATAGATATTTTTTTACTGTGATATATACTGTCATTGGTACAGTGCAATTACAACGAATCATAATGTTACGGTGTTGGTGCCAAGGAATGGGCTTATAATACTGAAATAATCATCGTATAGATAATTAAGTAGCGGTATGTGGATAATTGATATTTGATACATGGGAGGGAAATGATACCACATACAGCACCGTAACCCTTGCCTCTCAGATATGTGCTTTTATTATTACTACATACAATATAGTTACGCGTTATGTTTGTAAAATGTATTCTAGTTATTTCAGGTTTCACAGGTGCATGTGAATACAGGGGCACATTCATGTATTACCTGTACTTATTTAGATTGATTTATTTATAAAATGTTTACCATATTATAATATAAAGTTTAAATCTCTGTTTCTAGCTCAGCGCTCAATTAGACAAGTTAGGGATATTTTCAAGGAATTGAAGGATCTTCTTGGAGGAGACGTGTACAAGACAAACAAGGGACAGGTCAACAACACAGTCCAAGTTATAGAGGTGACCACTCTTATAGTAATAAATACCGTATATTTTTATATATACATGTAATTAATAGAAATCATGACATACATGTACATGTATCAAATTGCTTGCAGTCGTTTTCACAATTCCAAATAAGCTAAAGACAAAAACATCCGGTTTTATCTTTTTGACATTTCAAGACAGAATAAAACACGTTTATTTTATTCGTCCATTTACCGTATTTTGAACGTATCCACACATTTTGATTGTTTGCTCATCCATTTATTCATACCTAGTATCTAGTATTTCTTGTTTACTGGGTCTTAGTTCACACCTTTGCATTAGCTTTTGGTGAAATCATCCCATGTTAATATAGGGATCAGTAAAAAATACAGCGGAGGTCACACTAGCCAAATTCCAGTGGTCTACAGCAGGAACAGGTTCAGACAAACACGTCATCGTGGACAGTCTGGTGTCAGATGTCTATGTGGAGGCTCAAGGAGAAACACAGACCCCATCTCTGGCCTTTTATCATCCAAATGGCACGTACACTGTATACTCATCTGTTAATTCGATTACATATTTTAACAGATTCAGATTAATGTATCATTTAATGTTAATCTAGTCTATATTTGTTTCTTAAACAATACATCTGGGCATGCTTAGATATCACACATTAAAAGATACGACCGCACCAGGTTACAGTTCTAATGCTGTTCTAGTGCCTCTTTCTCAAAAAGACTTTAAGCGATCTAAAACTGCATTTAAATAGTCGTCTAAGTCGTAGTAGGCTATGATTTTGACCAAGGACGGACTTTAACTTCTATTCGTGAGACAATCTCCTGGAACTTATATCTGAATGTGAAGACTTAATTTTATAGGAAGCCTGTACTCCAGATTTGAAGAGACGCGGGCAGGGACATTAGTTCGTCGCTATCATATAGCAGTAAGTTTCTCTTATAAGTATCACAATCCGTATTTATCCATATCTGATATATTTGATTATCGTTCCCGAAAATTAATGACCAGCGTAATATATACATTTCAAAAACAAACACTGACATTGTTTTGAAATACGCATTTTTTACCACGGGATGTACTAATCCCACTTGCAATGCTATCTTTTTCTAGCGTTTATGATATGGATCAGAGTAATCATTCGCCACACCCGTTTTAGTAGTTTTATATATTTTATAATGTTTTATTATATGAGATTATATATTTCATCTTGCGGTAAATCATTTACCTGTACAGGTACGAGGTCCAGCATTTTATGCTTTTTTTTTTTTAAATCTCAGAATGTCACCCCAGGCATGTGGACAATACGGCGACAGATCAAAGACACGTACGACCTTGAGGTGACAGGGAGAAGCACGCTGGACTTTACCTATCAATTCATGGACCCTGACACCGGGGACATGTTCCCCTTAACAGGACTACCAATACCTGGTTAAGTATCGTATTAGTCCGCTGTTAAGTCAAAAACACATAGTTAATTGAGTTTACAATAAGTTAATTCCGTCATTTTTTCTATCCTGCCCTTGTACTTCATTCCATGGTTATGAAACTGACCTAAAATACACTGTATAACATTCATTCAACACCTTTGGAACGGTCAGATGAAGCTTGAACTTATCAAATAGTGGCTTGATGGGTCGTAGTGGGACCAATTGTTGCATTTTAATTCCAAAAAAAAAAAATAATAATAAAAAATCCGAGTTTATTGGATGACATAATGTTGAGGAACAGGGATTACCATCTCTAGCGCCGGCCTCTCATTTGGAAACCCCTGTTCCTTAGCTTTGTATTGTTTGTGGCATTTTTCAAGGCACGGCAGTGAAACTTGATACGCGACTCACAGCAATAGACGACATAGCCAACGTGACCAGGGTAAGCCTCGTTGACGGCACTGCGCGGGAACTATATGGTACGACTCCTGTCCAGGGAGCCGGGAAAAATAGAAATACCTTTCGGTCCTCAGTGACGATTCCAGAACAGGTGGGTGACGTACATGTAGATACTGTGGACATGAACACGTGAAACAAATTGGCCCCGGGAATAGAGCTATATACATGTTTCAGAATGTTTTGGGTGTGTTTCCTTCCAGTTCATTTAGAAGTTGAAATTGAAATTCCGCAGTTTAAGGCATGGCGGCAGTAACTCAAAACATGAACAAAATAAAAAAATTAAAATGTTTGATTATTTTGCCCATGCTCAAAATTTACTTTTTCACTTAATGTTTTTGACGAAGCACGTACATAAAAAACGTGCCAATAAATATTACACCCCAGTTTTGAAAAGAAAGAGCGGCCCCTAAAATAAATGACAATGAATTCATCTCTGGTAACTTCACTCTTCTTATTCCAGCCTTTCCGAATCTCTCTACAAGGAACAGACAGGGTCGGTTATATTTTTGTAAGGCAACAGTCGGCCGCCATTTCGCTGCAAAATACTATGACAACGACTTGCGTACACGTATCATCAAGTACGTTGACTACAGCACACCCTACCGTCGAGGAACACAAGAAAAACCAACAGGGAGGGTCCACCTATAAGGTAAATTTATTACATATCTTAATAGTTTAGTATAGACTTTAAAGAGGTAAGAATGAGATAAAAAAAAATAAATATCTCACACTGAAGACAATGAACTAGAAACTTTGGTATAATACGTGAAGCCTTTTCTGTAGATTTCACAAAGAGAAGATATTGTATAGACCCGCCTCTGATGAACTTTACTTTATTACCAGTACACTATACACTTTATCCATCCATTAATTCGGGTCCTCCAACCTTCGGACTGTTGCTACGACACCATCGTTAAGTCATTTAACACGTAAATGTCACAATTAATAGTGCTTACAATTCGATATTATTCTAATTAGCACCTGCTCAGAAACGTTTGCTTTCTGTACTTCCAGCCTACCACAGTCACCAGTCTCTCAGGCGGCCCGTCCATTACACACACGTTATTTCCAAATGTATTACTGGCACTCATACTGCGGTGGTGCGTAAGTTAAAAGAATATGACGGGACTACATGTACCAATCCAAATATGCAACTGCAACACAAGTGCACAGATGGTTCCAAACACACATGGATGCCATGGATGGATGAAAAATTATTGTACGTGTGCTTGTATTCTCACTGGGGTCAGAACAATTTACCTTCGGTACCGTATTTTAAGGTGCTTATATGGCATAATGTATTGAACTACAGGATAGTGGTCAACAATTTTCTTCATTGGTGTGAGGCAAGTAGAGGATATCTAGAACGCTCGTATTAACAATACTATGTGTTTATGGACTCATTATTTATACATTCAAGTGAACTAGATAGTTTTATGATGTATGGTATTTACTTATTAATTTTATTGTGGTAAAACGACATGTACAGTGTATCTATAAATTTGAAATTTGAAAACAGCCTTTGAAAAAGGTATCGCAGTTTTTATTACCACCTAAAATTGTCTCATGTGGTCGACTATACAAGTAAAAAACGTTGCTAATCCATTTATAATATGACTTAATTTTTCATCATGTTTTGTAGTTACTAATATTAGCATACAACATCAGAATTTATTTTGAAATCTGTAAGGCATTCTTTTCGTTTTCTTTTGCAATACACGAAGTATTGGGGCTCATTCCCATTGGAACTATCGGTCTATTTAGATCGATCCAACTCCGCCAGGACTCTCGCTGAATGCAATCAGATTAAAATATTATCACGCCTCCTCCAGCGTTAAGAATACAGAAAAGCTGTAGAATACACGAGTTCGTTGGAGACAAGAGGAGGCGCGTTTAAAACCTGTCAAGCTGACTGCACCAAGGCTGTATTCCCAGAGCTTTTAGATCGATCTATCACCGCGGGGAGTCTCACTAGATTACTTCAGATAATCCGGCTTAAATGTCCGTCCCGCCTACTACAAGCTGTAAGGGGGTAATTAACTTTCGTGTCCGCTCGGCTGACAGCTATTTAGCGTGAACCCCCAGGGAGTTAGGTCGACCTAAAGTAGATCGATTTAATCTCTGGAAATGGGGTCCTAGAGTCCCCGTGAAGCTGGATTGATCTACGTACACCAGTAGTTTCAGTGGGAATATTCACCTGAATTTACTGAATTTAACACTATGGAAAGAATGTTTACAGCCGTTTCTTTTAAATAAATGAGTCTGCCGGGTCAAAGTCCAGGGCTGTAGGATAAGGAAAATACTCGGGAGTGGGGGGGATCAGCTGTTGCAGGCCTACAATATCAATATACGTGCAAGCAATTAATTTCGCCAGCCTGCGGTACTCGTGTAGACGCTTACTGAAAAAAAGTAGGACTGGTTCAGATAAAGCGAAATGTTAGCATTTTATAAATGCCTTCTTCAATTATAAAAAAACACTGAGGGAATGTTCTCCAGTCCCCCCTTCCCTCCCTCTCTCACTTCTATGGCATTCTACGACCTTGTAGTTTGTTAAAGATCTCAACATGATAGGTTAAAAACCGTTTGCTTATTTACCATCTCGATAGTGTTTCAAAGATTGGGGTCCCCGTAAAAAAGTGGCATCGCACCACTGAAACAGAGAATATTATGCTACATTTACAACAGTACAGTAAAACCTAAGGGCCCCTTATCAAACTGCATTTCTTCACTGGAGTGGGGTGTGGGCATTGTCCTACTCTTACTGTGCTTTGGTACAGACTTGTTGACAAAGATAACCCACATAAACAAGGCCATAGATATAAGGATAGATATGAATATGGACCTCAATACCGCCCCCTACCCGCCCTGACAGCAGAGATAAACGCGTTTTGCCCCTCAGATAAACTATCACAAGCATTGCTTTACATGGGGCATCAAAATCTAAATATGCCCTTATTCACAATAAACACATAGGTTACTTGACACAACTTGAATCTTGAATTCCTAATAAATAAATGAGGGAAATATAATTAACCGAGCGCTGTCCCATATAACGATCTTTGCATTTACTCTTGTAAAGGTAAAAACGGTATCACTCGGCAGATGGATGACATAAATCCTTATGTGAAAATGTGGCTCAAAGTTGTATCCTTTAGCTTAACACTACTTGCTTATGCGAACGTTCCCTTAAATAATCTGCATCCATTATAAATCCGGTATCCGCTTTAAAAAATTGCTGTTTTCCTCCACCTGCTGCCTTATAATGGTCTGCAGCAATGGATGTTTTCCTGAACGATTTGAGATATGAATGTTCCCTTATTATTGAATACCATCTTTGAAACGTTCTCTTCCACATATAATTCTAGTCAAATGCAAACTGAAAATGCTATAAATAATACGGGCGATCCCAAGGACAGTAAAACCATGAAATCGGCAAACGAACTTAATAGTGTCTGTATCTCTGTAAAATTATAACTTCGCAAAAGCGCACAGCAATATGAAAGACGATGTCCTTTCACAATTGCCAAATTGTGTGGTATACATGCACCACGACTTCGGTGCAGTTTGAGCCAGTCACCATGCATACGGCACAGTAGATCCACATTTATCCCGTGGCATACTGTACGTCCCTTAAATCATTATGTACACAAGAGGTACTTAAACATCAAACTTGAGATGTGTGCACATTTTGATTCGCCTTTGTAACTTCCGAGTAAGGCGGTGGAGACGAAGAATAGACGTCTACGTAGGGCGGGGGCTCGTCGCGTCTTTGGTAAGGCGGAGGTGCAGAGGGAACTGTCACGCCGGTCACGGCATCGTTATTACTGGTCGACTGCGTCCTTCCCGCCATTCGGTTATCAGTGAAAGTGTTTTGAGCATTATGTTCATAGTCTATGGAAGTGCTGTCTGAGTTACCTGAAATACATAAGCACGGATTAAATAAGTGCGTGTAAGTGGGAGTCATCTGATAAAGTTATGAATGACGACTTTTTAATCCGAATAAAGCGAATTTGCAGTAGCATAAATGCTTTAAGAATTAGAGAGACAGATCAAAAGTTGAGATTGACTGACAAAAATCGTTCAAAATTACAATGGAATCCAGAAATATTCTGACAACAACCTTGAAAACGGGCTCAGAAAAAAATAAATATTGGTGGACCATACATGTATGCTATGTCCAAGAAAGGACTTTCAGATACACGTATAGAAGATGCAACCGAAATCTGTTCCATGCTGTATATTCCACCCCTGCTCCTTAACCATTGTGTCTATCTTCATCGCCTTGGATAGCAAGGACATCTTGATAGTTTTGGCAATGCCTAGATACTAAGCATAGGACAGAGTGACTCTGGTTTTCAGAATGCACCCAATCGATGTGTGTACATTTCAAGCGCGTGATAACCCAGGGGTTGAATCATTTATATTCAACAATTCTTCATAATAAACATCGTTAAATAAGGGATGGCTGATGACTGATTAAACTGAATAAAAACTGCTGATAACGAAACGATACACAACAGCGCAGCATATTTAGGTAGTGCTATGATAAAATACACTTCTCGTTAGGTGTTGACATAGTTTGCTGGGACCTGTTCAAACAGATACTAGTAGTTCTGAAACTGAGAGAGAGAGAGAACGGTTTACCTGTGGCCAGCAATAACCTCCTTCTTTCTGCAGGCGTTATCCCTCTAGATCTGTCACGTTTGAAGCAAGACCAGCAGCAGTAGGCCACAAGCATAAGAACCACAAATGCGAGGCAAGCGCCACCTACCGGACTATTGAAGAACCCCCAGACTGCAAACAGAAACGTGTGATGTTCAAGATTTTCAACCATTTGTGGAGATCGTTCCAGCATGTGTATCCCACATGGTGCTTGTTACGCCTAGACGACCTCAATTACAATCTTGAAAAAAATGTATTGTTTTCCCTTCACTCTATTCCCATTTTCAAAATATATTTCTCATTGATACACATCTAGTTATTATACATGTATACATGTAGTACGTTAGGTATAAATTCGACGAAAACTGTTGGCCATCGTTTTAACTCCAAAATATCCTTACCATATCTAGTCTCTTGGTAAAATGAAATTACATCAACTACTATCAATATTTATTTGTAAAAAAAATGTATAAGCCATGCTTTTTAAAGTAAACATCGATATTTAACTGTTGAGGGAAGTTACGATTCTTGGAGAGAATTGTCCTGCTGTCAAGAAATAAACACCGAATTTACGTCATTTCCAATAACAAAACAACAGTCGAGGCATCAGAAGGACTGCCCACATATGTAAATTTGCGAAAAAAAAAACCTACTGTAGTGTCAACTGACCCTTGGATGCCACCAAATGTAACAGAGACATGGCGTTTTGTGACTGATTACAACAATGCCCTTACTGTCGTTATCCATCGATCCAGCCAGGTAAACGGCAATCACATCAAGCCTCGGGAGTAGATATCGCTCACACGCTACCAAGATCGGGAGATACAGGTGAAAACTGCTCACTCACATAGCAGGTGTTCACGTGTGCAACGTTTACAGAGACAATAGCTTATTGCTTGAACCGGAGAACGGAGAACGTTACCAGGAAATAGCCTACTGAGCGTGACTGCAGCAATGTCCATATATTTTGAACAATCGCATGATAAGCAAAGTGTGCCTATGCCGCTGTCCCATCAACCCAATTGATACCTTATCTGATGACGCATTGTACACCTTAGCAGCGAACGCAGGGATGTCCTGGGTCACACATTGTTCAGCTGAATGTCTTTGTGTCCCTACATGTCAGTTACGTAAATTGTCTGATCTCTGTCTATGGGCATGTTGCTTAATTAAGTAAGTATATAGCCCCCCCCCCCCTCCCGTGAACACACGTTCTCACTTGTAACAATCGAAGCTGGATTTTAATGCAACAGCACTGTCATAACACAATGCAATTCGCATCCACTCTTTAGGTGGGACTGAGAGCACATATTACGCCCTTTTTTCTATACAGTAAGCTCGATGTTTGGATGCTATTTGAATACTTTCAGCGAGCATGATAATGATGGCTCCACGGGGTGTGTCTTTATCGGGAGCCCCACCCCCTCAGCAAGGGTAGTTCGTGATAGCCT